CTAAAGAATTCTTTGTGGCGAATCAGGAACTGAAAACACACGATGGGGGAGCCGGCAGCGCTCCCAGGAAGTTTTAGCCGTTGGTGTATTCGATAGTAAATAGCGAAGTGAGAGCTACTAGTCTACATGGTAGTGGTTGTAGTAGCTGCGCTGCAGCCGCAGTGGTTGGACACGAGACCTGTCATCACGTGTGGCGTTACGGGGATCCTGTCATCCAGGATGACGAACGTGTAAACAGCATTGTCGATTTGTTTCTGAGATCTGTAGTCTGCAGCTTCAACTTATAGCTGGAGCTGGCTGGGTCTAATGGTGCATGCACTACAGACTGTCGTTAGCAATGTCCACTTGGGAAATGAGCTTTTCGGCACTGCCCAGTGGGCAGATCCTTTCTCATCATGTTTACTCAGCAGTACTTGTACCTGCGTGGTCCATAATCCTTACGTGCTTGCAATCAGTATGTCATAGGTGGGGATGGCACGTATGTGATCAGGGGCGGAAAATCGGGGGCAGTATATTTTTTGTAGCAACTGGCATATGTATTGTGCACTACTGTACTTACTCGGGACGGGATCCCCGGAGTTCGTTTATAACGTTAATCCATGATAGAATATGTGTTGCGCCCGCCCGAAGAAACTCTGAAATTTGGTCAATCTTTGAATATAAAAATAGGATTATTTTTACAAGGGTATTCTATCTGCTGTTGCTAAATTGTGATTTGCTATTTTGTTTGTGTATGTGCCATTCTCAGTTATGCCCACCTCAATGTTCAATTGCAACGTACTCCTGTCCATGCTCGCCAATATAGACACACACACAAACTGTTCCAGGTTTCTATAATCACTGGCTAGTGTCAGGGTTATTATTTCTCCCGGCATCAAGAAATTATTAACACAAGTGTTATAATTATTAAGGTAGTGTGCCAGTTTAAGAGAGAGTCAATTTTGTTTGTCAAATCTGTGTCAATTTTTGACGTACGGCGATGATCTTAGCATTAAAAGGAAAAATGTCGATTTCGATTATTTTGTGAGACATAATAACAGTCAATAGAACTCATTGTAAGCGAAACGAAAACGAACCCGTGAAAAAAAAAACTCGGATTTGGAAGGGCACCAGTTTAGTAGAGGTTTTTTAATAAAGATTTTGTAGGGTTTTCCAAGAACGGGAAATATTAGCCAATTATATCACAATAAATGAAAATCGTTTGAATGAATCTCTACTAAACTGATCACTTTCTCTTAAACTGGCGCGCAACCTTATGCGCTAGATCCGGATACCAGGCTTCCACACCCCCAGGAATGGAAGCCTGGTATCCGGAACTAGAGCTCCATGTTTGCTTTAGTTCTCAGCATCATTTGTGCATTTATTGCGTGCCAGTGTACTGCATCGTGCAAAGTTGGTCATTCAAAAGTCTACTGGACCTTCTACTGGACGACCAATCGAAATCCGCGTCGTTGTATTGTAATTCAGTGTTTAGAGCGACAATGGATCTCAAAACAATCTACAACAACCAATTTATTGTTTGTACAACATAATAGATCGGAGGGCATACCGAATTATCAGTTGATACGGTTACCTTTGCTAGTTTTAGTCCAAATACCACAACAAGTGATAATACACATGGGGGAAGAGTCTATTTGGTTAGGTGCTAGCAACAACAATCTTCTCAGCAGCTATTAAAGGGGACCAATACGCTCGCAAACACCAGAGCAACCTCTTTCATTTGCAATAGTGTTACCAGCTTGTAGCGATGCTAGTAATTCTGTTGCGATTCCTCGTACATTTTCATTTGAGTTTTAGCGGTATTTTGTGCAGTCTCAATTGGTGCTGGAATTTACTTCTTTTTTTTTAAAGTTGAGAATCTCTACAGTAGTCGCTCAACTTGAGATCGATTTTGCATGCATTTTTTTTAGAAAGTAGTTGATTTCTTAATACTAATAATTCAGAAGTAACAACTAATTGTGTTCAGTATTTATTTAATATTTTTAAATAAATGTTTAAAAATACTGACAATACAATAAGTGTCTAAAGAATAAATACAAAGTATTCGACAAATAATATTATTCTCTGTACTATTTAAGAGCAGTACATATATTCTAATACATTTTAATAGTAGTTGACGAACAACGCTGGTACGATGTACCGTTATTTTGTTGTGTGCAGGAACTCCATTTTCGTGCATAACAACATTCGAACGAGACTCAGAAAGCGGATACACTAGACATCTGCGTTTCATGGCGGACACTATCGCACCAGGATTGCCTCTAGACAGCACACACGGTGCGTTCCCTACTTACCACCTTGCAGTACTCCTTTTCCTCTATCCGTCCATCGCTCTCTTGTCTCGATTCTCACGCTTGTTGCTCTGTTATCTTTCATCTTTGCTGGACTTTCGCCCATGTCACATGCATATCAATCGCCTGCAGCGCCGCTGATCCACCTCGAGTTCCGCTACCGCCAAGTTGATACAGTCTTGGCGCTGGCTTATGGTGGCGCCTGCTTCTTCTCCTTCTGGGCCTTCGCCATGCATGCGCAATCGCCCACGCGCCAAGCTGCCACCCTCGGATTCTATCTGCTAATGGGATTGGCCTCACTCACCCGCGTATTATGGTTCGCTACGCCCTACGGTGTACAGTCGGTGCTAGTAGAGCCACCACGTATTATGATGGGCGACGAAGGTGCAGCCCAGTTCCTGCTGGCCGAAGCAGTGGAGCTTCTGGGCTCCTTCCTGCTCTACAGCGTCTTCGTGCTCATCGTCATCTTCTGGGCAGACATGCTGCGTCGCCTCTTCACACACGAAAGTGTGCGGTCACATCCACTACGACTCTTCTTCTTCGTATTTGGCGCTATTGTGGCCATCCAGGCCATGGGATTCGCAGTGTTTGCAGCCAAGAAAGAGGACTCGTACTGGCTCATGATCTACGACGACGTCGTCATGTGTCTATTGTCGCTTGGCTCGCTCGCAGCGGTGCTTGTGTACTCATTCAGGATGAAGACCGTGCTACAGGCTTTTCTTGAGGTCAGCCAGATCGACACGACCGACAGGATCAAGGCCGTTAACTGGGCCACGTCCATCTGCGCCTTCTTCCTCGTCTCAAACTGCGTCTTCCTGGTCTACTCGATCGTGAGTCTGGCGCATTTCCATCGAGCTGGAGCGTATCTCGAGTCCAAATGGTGGTGGCTCTTTGTGGCGTCGAAACATCTCGTGGAGATCTTCGTCCTCTACTTTTTACTCTACACGCTGTGGGGCAAGAGCTCGGACGACGCCGAGAACTCCAAGGACGGATACGAACCCATTCCGGACTATCTGGACGACGACGACGTCAACGGCATCAACACGTCGGGCTCGCTGCCTAGCACGCCGAGGCGTCATCGCTAGACTATCGACAAGTGACCAGAAGCGGCTGTGAATATAGCGAGCTGGTGGCTTCGAACGAAATTTTAACAGTAAAACACACAACGAGCGATCATATTTAGCTCTTCCTAATGCACTTGCGTCTCATTTGTTTCTAGTTGTCGGTGAGGTCGTCGTTCAGGTTCACGCCGAGCTCCTTGGCGACCTGCAGCATGTCCTTATCGCCTCGGCCACTAACGTTGATAACCACTACCTGGTCGGATGACAGCGTGGAGGCCAGCTTGACGCCGTAGTGTACTGCGTGCGCACTCTCGAGTGCTGGGATGATCCCTTCGTGCAGAGAAATAAGCTGGAAGGCTTCCAACGCCTCCTTGTCGGTCACGCTAACGTACTGGGCACGGCCAGAGTCCTTGAGGAACGCGTGCTCCGGGCCGACGCCGGCGTAATCCAGACCCGCGGACACGGAGTGGGTCTCCATGACCTGGCCGGCAGGATCTTGCATGATGTATGTCTTCGTGCCGTGCAGCACACCCGGTCGGCCGCCCAGTAGCGTCGACGAGTGACGAGGAGTGTCTACACCGTCACCTCCAGCCTCAACGCCATAAATTGCCACCTTCTCGTCCTTAACAAACGGGTGGAACATGCCGATAGCATTACTGCCACCGCCCACACAAGCCACAATGGCATCGGGCAGACGGCCGATCTCTTCCTGTAGCTGGGCCTTAATCTCACGGCCGATGATGGCCTGGAAGTCGCGCACAATGGTCGGGAACGGGTGCGGCCCGATGGCCGAGCCGATAATGTAGTGGGTGTTGTCCACGTTGGTTACCCAGTCGCGAATAGCTTCGTTCACGGCGTCCTTGAGCGTCTGCGAGCCGCTCTTGACGGCAATAACCTTGGCGCCAAGCATCTTCATGCGGAACACGTTGAGCGACTGGCGCTGCGTGTCGACGTAGCCCATGTAGACCACGCACTCGAGACCCAATAGGGCACAGGCCGTCGCCGTGGCCACACCGTGCTGGCCGGCGCCAGTCTCGGCGATAATGCGTGTCTTACCTAGACGCTTGGCCAACACGGCCTGCCCCAGCGCGTTGTTGATCTTGTGCGCGCCCGTGTGGGCCAGATCCTCACGCTTAAGCCAGATCTGCGCACCCTTAGCGTGGGCCGTCAGGCGATTGGCGTGGTACAGAGGCGTGGGGCGGCCGATGTAGTCGCGGCCTAAATGCTCCAGCTCCTCGCGGAAGGCCGGGTCCTGTGTGGCCTTGACGTACTCGTCGATGAGGTTGTGGTGCGCCTGGATGAGCGTCTCGGCCACGAAGCAGCCGCCGAACTGGCCGAAGTATGCGTTCAGCTCCTCGGCCGACGTATACACGGGCGGCGCGTTGGACACGTCCAGGTACTTCTTGTAGTTAGTGCTGTTGTCGGTCATCGCTGCTTTCGAGACGGCAAATTAGAGAGTGATGGAGGACGAATCGGTCGCCTCTGACGTAGATGGATGGAGCCACCGGAAAGTGGCGTCAACAATTGTCACCGAACAGGTTGATGTTGATGCGCATTCGTACACTGACCTGTACAGACTCGATGCTGAACTGTGAAGATGAAAAAGACAAGAAACAAAGTCTGGGATAAATGGTGAAAAACCCACTCCTCGATTTGCTTGGGAGCAATATGTACAACTCTTTGCTGTCTGATTCCACAGCCTATCAGACACGGACCACGAAACGCGTGAATAAGGTAACTAGGCTCTGCGGTCTGAGGTGCTTGGGGTAACACCATTAAGGAGCCGCTCCTCATGAGTCGTGTCTTGAAAGTTTTGCTTAAACTCGTTTAAAACGTAAGTTGCCAAGGCAACTTTTCAAACCTTGAAACTTGACTTGCTGAGCATGAAACACATGATGAAGGTAAAAATACTTAAGCCTTCATCAAGCTCAAGCTATACAAAATCTAATGCGAAGCGACGCAGCGCAAAGCGGTCGTTACGCTTGCTTCCGCCACGGGATTTCTCTTCTCGACCGGTCGCATCAGTCCTGGAAGCGCAGCGTGGAGTAGATAAGCTCTTGATTCTAAACCTTGATCCACCATAACAAGTTCTTGATCCGTGTCCACCATGATCAGCGCCCTGTTCCTCATCAGTCAGAAGGGTGAGGTAGTGCTCAATCGCTTTTACCGTGACGATGTCAGCCGACGCGCGGCCGACAACTTCCGACTGCAGGTGATCGCGGCCAAGGAGACGGGCACGCTGCCGCCTGTCAAGGTCATCGACGGGTGCTCTTTCCTATACACTCGTCACGAGAACTTGTACCTGGTGGCTGTTTCGCGTGCCAACATCAACGCTGCATTGGTGTTCCAGTTCCTCTATCAGCTCAACATCATTTTCAAGGAATATTTCGGTAAGAAGTACAATGAAGACACCATCCGAGACAACTTCACGCTCGTGTACGAGCTTCTGGACGAGACCATGGACCACGGTTACCCGCAGAACTGCTCCAGCGACGTGCTCAAGCTGTTCATTAACCTTGGATCATCTCTCGCCGTGCGTCTAGTTCGTTATACCTTTCTTAGTGTGATCAAACAGCTAAGTTTATTGTTGTTTACTGTTCGCTTTTGTAGACCCCCGAGAACCCTGGTGGAGCCCCACCTTCACAGCTGACATCGCAGATCACGGGTGCCATCGACTGGCGCCGCGAAGGAATCCGATACAAGAGGAATGAGGTGTATCTCGATGTCTTCGAGAGTGTGAACCTGCTCATGTCGTCCAACGGTACAGTTCTGCGCAACGAAGTAGCTGGCCAGGTGGTCATGAAGACACTCCTTACCGGTATGCCCGAGTGCAAGCTCGGGCTGAATGACAAACTCACAATGCAGAAGGGAGATGCCCCCTCTGCCAAGGTGGCTGGCCAAAAGCGCGGCTCGCGTGAGGTCGAGATCGACGATTGCACGTTCCATCGCTGCGTGCGTCTTGGCAAATTCGACGCCGACCGAACCATCACGTTCATCCCCCCGGATGGAGAGTTTGAGCTTATGAAGTACCGTGTGACCGAGAACATCAACCTTCCCTTCAAGATCATGCCAGCTTACCAAGAGCAAGGCACCACTCGTCTCTCTGTCACTCTGAAGCTGGCTTCGCTCTTCAGTCCGCGACTGTTTGCTACCAACGTCGTCATCAAGATCCCGGTAAGCCTGGGTTCTCATAGTATGCGGTAGAATGTGCTCATCAGTCGTTATTTTCAACTTGTGCAGACGCCACCGAATACTGCGCGAGCTAAGATCAATGCCCCTATCGGCAGAGCGAAGCATGAACCGGAAAATCATGCGATCGTGTGGCGTATTCGCAAATTCCAAGGCAAATTGGAGCGGATGCTGGATGCTGAAGTCGAGATGATGAAGGGAACGAAGGAAAAGCTATGGTCACGTCCGCCGCTTCAGATTGAATTTCAGGTGCCTATGTTCACGTCGTCGGGACTGCACGTGCGGTTCCTCAAAGTATTCGAGAAGAGCTCTTACCCGACTACCAAGTGGGTTCGCTACGTCACGCGTGCTGGACAGTATCAGCTCCGCATCTAATCAGATCCACACGCTCCTAGTTTCCGAGCCAATTTCGATACGAATATCTGCTTAACAAAACTCGAGTAGGTAGTATCATCAATAAAGAGAGACACGCGGTTTGATTTGAAAATATGTAAAAAAAAAAAAAAAAGTTTCTAGCGAAGAAGGCAGATAGCTTGAACTGATGTGATACCTTATCGGATGCTTGATTCGATTGAACGGCGGACTTGGTTGATTTCAGGTGAACTGCTGCACCGTCAGAAGCCTATCCGGAGCTCGTAATCTACAATTTGCCAGCAGCATCTATTTAATCCAATTGAAAGG